TGGCTGGGGGAGGTTGGCCGGTCGGGGTGAGGTAAACCGGCTGTGTGGGGGAATGCCGGCCTGAGTGCTGAGCTCCTCCGGCTGCCGAGCGGGTCCCTGGGCACTTGTCTGTGTCTGTCCGTCTGTCTGTCTGTGTCTGGGCTCTCTGCCGGGGCACTCGGATGCCTTTGTCCCACCGGAGCCCCTTCGGGACCCCAGAGCCGTGCCTTGTGCTGGGTTTCTGGAGAGGCCCGGATCAGTGGTAGTGCTTGGGATGTGACCAGTGAAGACCAGGATAGGAAGGCCTTGGGGAAAAAAAAAAACCCACAACATTATTTATTAAAAAGATGCAATTAAGGGATAAGGTGATATTGACATCATTAACTGTGTAAAATCTAAAAGTAAGGATTCAGCCGAAAGAAATCCCACATTGGGTCAAACTGAGAGCTCCTGCAGCCTTTGGGTCCCTGGTGATGGCTTGAAGGGGGATTACACCTCTGAGGTGTCAGGTCATTCGTAGCAGGACCCTAGGCCTGGATCTTGATTTTTGGAGACATACAAGTTTGGTGTAACGTTTGACTGCCTGCAAAAGTCAGCAATGCCTGTGTTGTTTTCCAGTGTAAATGTGTATGTGAGAAATCCAGCTGGGAAATTGGAGTAGGAAAAATTCCCATGAAAGATATCATCTGTTCTACCAAAGTGACAAATCCTTTTCCATCATTGCAGTGGTATTCACATGCTTGTTATGCTATAATTTTTTTATATTAGCTGGCATATTTATGTACTTTAGATGTTAGTACAGATTTATGAGTTACACAGTGACTGTTTTTCAGCTGAATTTCTGTAGTGAAATCCAGAGGATTGCTGAAGTTTGGGAACCTAAAGGGACCTGTGTGGAGTATCGGTATGTGCAGGATTGGATTGAACAGTATCTGCTCCTGTAGTTAAATGATGCTGTTGAGCAAGAGGTGGGGAATATTAACATGAAATTTGAGGTCAGTTACAGATAAAGGAATCCTGTGAGGGTTCTTACTCTGAGTTAGACATCTGAGGTTTGAACAAAAAGATGTTTGGGAAGGACAAACTGGGGCAGGGAAATACGACCCAATGCAGTATGAAATTGTGTGTCCTGTCATCTCATGCTATTAGATAAGGGATGTGAGTCATAGCTGAAGAACAGTCAATATCCTTGAGTCATATGGTCGGAGTTAATGCTGAATGTTGTTTACCTTGGGAGCAAATGCTTTAGGGTACGGTGTCTGGTGGTCACCATCTCGTGCAGTTCATGGACAGGATTTGCTTCATGTTTCTTGTATGCTTCATGCTGCCTGCACTCGGGCAGCAGTGGTATTTGGGTGGAAAGGACAGGTGATGGGGTTTATGCTTGCTTGAAAGATGGTATTTCTGGTGGCTTACAACTGTACCACTGAGTCTTCCCACCATTTCTTTCCAATGAACTGAGATGTAAATGGTTAGTTTGAAGAACTTAAACTACATGCTGATTTGTATAACTTGTATATATTCCCCTTCGTAAAGGTGTCTCTACAGCAGAAGTGACCTTTGGTAGTAAGCATCAGAATTAGTTGATCAGGAAGAGCTCAGTTATGTCAGGAGCCTATGATCAGGTCAGAGATGAGAGAAAATGTTGGGAAACTGATGTTCATGCCGTTTTTTTCTCTAACTCTTGATCTGACGCCTTTTAAGCAGCAAAACCTTTTCATGGCTATATTGCTGTATCTGAAATTCAGAGCTTATTTGCTAGTTTCTTTATTAGCCCTGAGCACATTTAGAAATCCTGAACTGTGAAGCTGTGATGGTTTCTCACTGGTCCCCGCTCTGATGGGAGCTGTGTGGGCGCAAAGGCCTTCAGTTGCAGTGTGTGCCTCCTGCTCGCATCTCCTGCGCTGCCCTGTGATGTTGCTGTGCCTGCTGTCGCGCTTGCGCAGAGGAGAAGTAACGCCCAGAGGTTTTAATGAGGGTTGTAAAGCTCTGGTGGAGGTGGACCTTGTCATTCTCAAGGTGAGAGCTGCCCCTGTTTACATCTTAACAAGCAGAAGCTTTCTCATGGGACGGTTTTGTACAACTTTGAGTGCAGAAAATACTTGAAAACTTGTTGCACAAGCAGGGGGTCCTGTGTATTGGGAGCAGGAGGAAAATAAGGAAGAGATTGGACAGTGGCATTGCACAAAGAATTTGCCTTGCAAACTGTTTCATTCAACAAATTGTAGTGTCTCACTTCCCATCTCTAAAGTTGGGATATCAATGGAGCTGATAGGTAAAAGGTTTTGCTCCTATGTTTGGAGTGCTCGGTGTTAGTAAGGCAAGCTGTATAATTGTGTAAGGGATATTTTAGCTACTTGTTCTTTAACTTATGACTTTGACAAACGGGTTAACGCAAAATAGTCTTGTCTCTGCTCAACAGATGCTGTTTTGCCTCAGAAGAGGGGAAGGACACGGTCCAGAACAGCCATGAACTGTTGTTGGAGAGTCCTGGCAGTTTTCTTACTGTTTCCTCCAAGAGCATGGCCTCTCCAGCCAGCCCAGCCCAGGGTGTTGCTGGTGTCATTCGATGGATTTCGATGGGATTACATCTACAAAGTCTCGACGCCCAATTTTCACTACGCCATGCAAAACGGTGTCCATGTCAAACAGGTCACTAATGTGTTTATAACGAAAACGTTTCCTAATCACTATACCATGGTGACTGGCCTCTATGCAGAAAGCCACGGTGTCGTCGCTAATGAGATGTACGATCCTGTTCTGAATGAAACTTTCTCTCTGAACAAAATGGATATCCATAACTCCAAGTTCTGGGAAGACGCCAGCCCAATATGGGTGACAAACCAGAGGGAAGGACGTAAAACTGGAGCAGCGATGTGGCCTGGAACAGATGTCAAAATTCATGGAGTCTTTCCTACTTATTATATGCCCTACAACGAATCTGTTTCCTTTGAAGACAGAGTTGCTAAGCTTATTCACTGGTTTACAACAAAAGACCCCATAAACTTTGGTCTCCTCTACTGGGAACAGCCTGATGAGATGGGCCATATTCTGGGCCCCGATAACCCACGTATGGGACGAATCATCAGCGATATTGACAAAAAGCTGGGCTACCTTATAGCTGAGCTGAAGAAAGCAAAGCTGTGGGGTGTGATCAATGTCATAATCACAAGCGACCATGGGATGTCACAGTCCTCATCCGAAAGGCTCATTGAGCTGGATCAGTACGTGAGCAGAGAGCTCTACGAAGTCATTGACCATTCTCCTGCAGTAGCTATTCTGCCAAAAGAAGGTAGGAGCTAGAGCAGTAAAATTCATAGAAACACAGGATGTATTGGGTTGGAAGGGACCTTTAAAGCTCATCCAGTCCAACCCTGCAGTGAGCAGGGACATTGATACCAGATCAGGTTGCTCACAGCCCCATCAAACCTGACCTTGAACATCTCCAGGGATGGGGCCTGCACCACCTCTCCGGGCAACCTGTGCCAGTGATCTGCCACCCTCATAGTGATGAACTTTTTCCTGATATCCAACCTAAATCTCCCCTTTTCTAGTTTAAAACCATTACCTCTTGTCCTATTGCTCCATGCCCCAGTGAACAGCTCTTCCCCAGCTTTCTTATAGACACCTTTCAGGTATTGGAAGGTCTCTATAAGTTGCATAATTTTAATTCCCTGAATTAAATACTTGAGGTTTGAACTCTACCAACTTCATTCCTTAGCTGAAGTGGTGGTAGCAGCACTGGTGCCTGCAGGACATCAGCCTTGACCAAGGAGTACATGCAGGATCACTGCCGCCTTCTTTCTGGTAGCTCTGTCAAGAGCCTGGGTTAACTTTCAGAATGAAAAGTGAGCAGATCCGTCTGTTGGTGACTAAATGATGACAAATGTCCTTTAGTCCTTGTGAGATATAAACTAATCTAATGTCGTTATCACGGATGAATGGCGTTCTAGATAGATAACAACTGGATGTTACTTATCTTGCCTTTCATCAAGATACTAAAGCCACAGTGGAAGGATCAGATTTCTATCTCAAACAGTAAACTGACACCAGATGGGGACCTTTGATAAAAAGAAAGCCTGTGCTGGCTGTTTGATTAGCTGCCAACTGTTGCAGTTCACTTTGAGGTTTTTTTTCCCCAGCCAGTTCCATTTGTACTGTTTTTATTGTGCTAATGGTGGTCAGGAGTTCTGTGGGAATTGAAATCTGAAATCTGATTGCTGAGTTGTCAGGTGTGTGTGCAATGTCACTGATGCAGAGGTGCTGCTCACTGTTTTGATAAAAAGCTATAACTGGTGCAAATGCGTTAACCTGGGAGATAATAGCAAGTTTTGTGTGGGCATGGGAGCTAATTTGGGAGTTGAGTTTAAATACGACCTTCTGAAAAGGTCTTTTTGAAGATTTCTGTAACGTTTGCATCACTGATGGATAACACTCTGTGTTTAATGCCCCAGCAGGGAGGATACTTTGCAGACTTCAGTGACCTTTAAATGTGTGAACAAACGTCTCTCGTTATTTTTAGTTTGAAGAATACACCTTTAGTAATCCAGAGTAAAATGTTAGTGTGTCCACACTGAGATCTGATGGTAGAAGAGCTGTGTTTGGGACCTCCATCCATATGGAGACAAACATGGTAATATTGACCAGGATGTTCTCATCACCAAATAAAGGAGCTGTAAAAGTGAACTAATAAGTGCTAATTGCTAATGCAGTAAATGAGAACCTGAAGATGCGTAACCTGATTCTCCTGTCTGCTAAATGCAGGAAAGAAATAGCATCTGTGCAGTGGTTAGATGACAGAGTAGCAAAAAACCCATTTCAATGGATTTCAGAAATAGCTTGGGTTTGGTTTTGCCCACAAGGTCAAGAATTTATTACACTACCAAGAAACAAGAATTAATTTTGAGCACAGCTAAAATTCCTTCATTCTGTGTCACCAGCTGTAATTTTTGTTATAAACCAATGAGCTGCATTCTCAGTTTAGCCATGAAATAACATATATTTAAGTACATAAGAGTGATTCTTTGACAGACTCCATTTGTCTTGCTTAAAGTAAAGGAATGGTAAAACTTAGTGAGAGACAGATTAAAGCCACTATTTAACCATGGCAGTGTGTTAGTCTGTGGAACTAATTGTTCATGAAGATGGTACCTGTAGTGTGGCATAACAAAATTAATTTTGTCACTAATGTAGTTCTGGAAATACTGGATTGGAGTCCCTTTTCTTGTTGCTGTAACTGCCTCTATCATATCTGGACATTTGCTGTCTCATCTTGACTGTTCTTGTGTTTCCTAAGTCAAATGATTCTTTTTTTTTTTAATGCCTGTTTGAGATAAGAAACATTATATGTTATTTTATATACATATATAAAAATATATATGTGTATATGTAAGTATATATAGAAGTATGTATAGATATATATAAATATATGTAAGTATATACAAATAATATCTATGTATTTCCAGTTTACGGGGGTGTTGAAGAAACTTCTTCAGATGTAGGTTCATGAACTTGCTTTTATGTTCCTGTCCGTGTGTCCTGGTTCCTCCTTTCTGCACCTTGGTGTCCCAGCTTGTCCAGCTGCTTCCTGGCTGTTCAGTGACTGGGAAGCAAAGCTCAGAAACTGGAAGTGAGCAAATAAAGAACTGGAGGTGTAAAATGCCCATTTATCTGATAGTTGTAGAATAGCTCTGAAGGGTTTGTGCTCGCTGTGCAGTAGAACAGGGAAGGGAAAGGAGCAGGTAGCAGTAACACAAAGGAGTAGGTAGGGCTGTTGGTGTTACTGAATACACAGGGCTGCTAATAGCTGTAGACCAAAAGTCCCATATTCATGTGCCAGTCCAACCTGTCCCCATGTTTGTCTTGTGTCTCTGCTTAGGCCTTTGCAGTCTTTGCACAGCTCCTAATGTGTCACTGCCATCCAGACCATGAACAAGGGCTGCCATTGAAGGAGTCGTGCAATCTAATTTGGCAGTTAATTGCCAGTGCTATGGTGTTACATGGTGCAACAGACTAGTTACTATTTCTAAATCAGCTGAACTCAGCATCAGAATCTTAGATCAAAACTGGGAGTCAATGTTAAGTTAAATGTGTGGAGCATCTTGTAGGAGAAATAAATAGCTGGGTTCACTCAGATACAAGTTTTCAGAGGTGCCAGGAAACAAAGTGGCTTCTCTTTTTGGCCTTTTAAAAGAAAACAAGTAACAGACTGCTACAAAATAAACCAAAATCCTCACTTTTCATAGCAGCCAACTGAGGGGGAGCCAGAACGTGGCCTTAATACACAAACTACATCATGGAACAGGTTTAGGAGCTTTCCTGCTTTCAGGCTTTACATGGAGCTGGGAGCTGGTTTCTTGTCCGTGAGACTTAACTGAATGCCTTCAAACACGTTTTTGTGAGCAGCGTACACTCTGATGGCCCCAAATGAGGGATTTTTCTAAAATCAGCAAGGCATTTACAGCTTGGGAACAGGCTGTGGAGCCCAGTGCCAGGTGTGATCTGTGAATGATGCTCTGGATTTCTCTACACGTTGTAATCTGCTATTGTCTCGTACAGCTATCACTAACTTCTAACATTTAACCCTCTTCTTTCAGCTGTGTTTAAACTACTGATGAGCTCAGTGAACCTATTGGTATGTTTAAGTTTTGTCTTTTTTTGTTGTTGTTTGAAGGGAAACTGCATGAAGTGTATGAAGCCCTGAGGAGTGCTCATCCCAACATGACTGTCTATAAAAAGGAGGAGATTCCAGACAGGTTTCATTACAAACACAACAGTAAAATTCAGCCAATCTTAGCAGTGGCCGATAAAGGATGGGAAATTGTGTATAATAAATCTGATGGGTTTCAATGTAAGTATCCTGTCTTTACAGTGTTTTGCTGTATTTTCCTGGTCGGAGACTTTACATGGTACTTTCTCTCCCAGTATCAACCAATGTTACCTTTAGGTTTTTTTTTTTTTAAGAGGGAAAACCCTGCATGTGCAGAATTTATAGGTTTTTTTTCCAGATGGGCTGGGAAGCACCCTGCAGTTAGGGGAGGGGAACTGGATGTAACCGTTTCTAAAAATTCAACTTCCTGAGATAAGATCATTCATGTGCTTTAGTGGCCAAATACTTGAGGTCTCTTGCGAGATGTAGCAAACTGACGAGCACTTCCCGAGAGATGAATTAAGAATAATGGTAACTGAACTTGTTGCATAAGGGATGAGTAGAGTGTTTTATCACGTACTGTTTATTTACTGGAGAGGGTTGGGTTGGAAATACAAGAATGGTTTCTGAAAGTCCTCAACTCCTGGGGATGCCCACACTTTGAGTAACCCTGTTGATATAAGTTCTGTTGCTAGAAAGAGTTTTGGAATGTTGTGCTACTGTGCACCAGTGCTTTTTTTTGCCTTACAGGATGAGATGAATTCTAGGTGATTTAGAGGGAAAAACTCCACTTTTAAGTTCCCTACCTTGGAGCTTTGAGATTTATTATAGGTAGAATGGAGACAGTAAAGTAACTTGTGGTTAGCTAGGAGAAAAAGATAGGTGTCATATGGTAAGTTTCTTAATTGAAACCTTTTAAACTTTGCAGCTGTTTATGACACTGCAGAGCGTTACTTGCAAGAGTTAACCAGTTTTTCAGTGTTGGTAACTGATGAGAGCAGCTTTTTGTCCCTGCGTGTTTCTTTATTTCCTTATTCTGAGGTTTTAGGGCCACTGGAGACCCCCTGGTGAGATCTGTGCACTTTTTTCCTTGCTGATGAGTAGACAGTGCACAAAATCAGATGAGCTGTCAAAGCAGTCAGAGCTTATGGTCAAACAGTTTGTCTATACATGGATTTTTTTTAAAAATTTTTCTTTTTTTCTTAAGAGATCTGATCCAGATACAAAGTTGAAGTTTTCCCTTGAGGAAAATGAAGGAAACTTGGGTATAGCATAGCCTGCCGTTGGCACGTTACTGCCATGGGAGCTTACCTTTTAGTTCTGTAGATGTGTTTTTTAAAAGTGCTCTCAATTCTGTTTTTCAAGGCATCTTCTCTTTGTAGTTCTGAGACTTGGTATTTGCTAGGAGGCGTTCGTTGAACAAACTGATTCTTCTAAACCTCTGCAAGAATAAATGACGGCCGATAGGTGATGGCTGCAAGAATAAATGATTTTCCTAATTCTAGGAAAAGGTTCACCGCATGTTTTGCAAAGTCAGAATACCGACCTTTGTCTGTCTTTTCTTTCTAGTGGGTAATCATGGGTATGACAACACCTTACCAGACATGCACCCCATTTTTCTGGCGGTCGGGCCTGCTTTCAGGAAGAACGCCACCAAAGAAGTCATGAATTCGACAGACTTGTACCCCTTGCTGTGCCATCTGCTCGGTATTAACGCGCTGCCAAACAACGGCTCCTTCGCTGCTATAAGAGATATTCTTGCCGAAGAAGTTCCTGTAGCCGTTGTAGCAGACGCCTACGCGACCGTTATAGGAGTCTTTTTGGGCAGTTTTCTTGTTTTGGTTTTTATTGCAGTGTTTGTTAAGCATTTTATGCTCACCCCAGTGAATACCATGCAAATTCGACATACTGAGGCTGCCCAGCCACTGTTATGTGATTAATAACACTTGGTATTATTTCCAGTTTGATGCTTAAAATAAGCTTATAAAAAGATTGATAGAGGTGGGTCAGCATAAATACGTGGAGTAAAAGGAAGCGGACGCTGATCCCTTGGTACCCTGGAGTACGTTCACCAGGTGTGCAGGGAGAGAGCACGTTTCTGTTTCACCCTACAACCACTTCATCTTTCAGGGGTTGAAAACATTCTCAGTAAACCTGCAAAGCTGTGTATGTGTGTAGACGTTTAGTGACAATAGACCTCGAATACCTCATTCTGAGCTAACTTCAGAGAAATCACATCAACTGAGGTGCACCTCATAGACTATCACATGGTGATTTAATTTCCCAACCCTCATTTTTTTTTCCTTTGAGAGGTTTTAAAAGTCTCTTAAGTTTTAACAAGTCACTGAATGTAACCAGACTTCTTTATGATTTTCCTTCCCTGCCCAAGGAAGCTTTTGCATGGATCACCATTACAGATACCCTGATGAATTAAGTCCTGCAGAAACCAACGTTATTATTAAGCTAGGTCATGCAGTGCTAAGTGTCTACGTTTAGAGTTAGGCATATCTCTTTAAACAACTGCTGTGTTAATTGTAGCCCCAAAATATGCATCTAGGTGGTATTGCCTTTAGCAATCAGCACTAAACTACTTGATTTTGTTGTTGTTTAGGTAAATATAGGTCTTTACGATTTTAGGTATGATTTTTGGTAAATGGAAGTCTATTTTTTCTATTGTTTCCTGGACTAAAATCTTTAGGACTTCCATGAGGCTGGCAATTTAAAGACACGTACAAGCACAACGCCTGGAGGTCCAAATGGAGTCGTCCATATTTCTGTGATAAGAGGGTTCTTTCAGAATAAGGCTGAGAAATCATTTCAGGAGCACACGTGTACAAGCTTTTTCCAGAGTGCTGACAAGCTTGGCACTGGTGTAACATCTGATCTGTTACTGGAGACTCTGCTCTAGCATCAGCTTGCCTTGTGTCGTGTGCTTTATCTGGTATGGCTGGGTGGACCTTAGACTTTGATGTAGTTTAAGGAAGAGCCGTTTAAATCTTAAGCCATATGTGCTCTTAAATCTGGAAAAGCACACGGTAGTATAAGAAAAGTTGTAAGACTGGAGTTTGTTCTTCCAGTGGAAAGTCCCTGTCAGGGAAAATTATTAATTCTGAGTCAACAAAACTATATATTCTACTGATCCTTTTGTGTGGGGCAATGAATATTCTTGCTATTGTAGCTGTGGGTTGTTTGATGAGCTCACTTAAACAGTAGGTTGAGAAGCTGCTGACTAAGGCTTGTATGAAAAACATGGTGTGGAGTGAGAAAAGCTGTCTGTTTGTCTGGCTTCTGTAAAAGCTGAAATACCAGCTCCCTGTGTGAGTTAGTATTGATCTGCACTTTGCTTCTGAGTGCAATGGCTGAAGGAGAAAGAAACTCTTTCAGAATTTAGACAAGTACTCAGTCTGGTATTTCTGTAAGTGCAATTTATTGCTTTATCCACAGGACCCAGCAGAGGGCAAAGATGGGAACATCTTGGCCTTGGATGTGCTCTGTCAAGCTGAGGGTGTGACAGTCTGGCACTGCCCTTGGGAGGTTGCTGGCAGACCCAGTGAGGAGCTGTAACAAGCTGAGTAACTGGAGTAGTAAACTCATTTGGTGAAAGACACAATTAGTGATACATAGGTGAGTTCACAAGTGAGCTGACTTCTCGCTGCCTCAGTGATGACTCTGCTGCATCAGAAATGATGTGTTGGATTCCTCCGTGGTGGCAGGGACACTTGCAAACAGAGGTGGAAAGTTTCCAGAGACCACAGCCAGGTGCAGTGAGTGCTTGAGAGGGAAGGCAGTGAAATATTCCTGTTTAAGGCGTCTGCTGAATGTCCAGCTGTAACAGTGGCCGTGGGAAGGCAGGAAATGCAGGTCTGTTGGACAGCCCCTTAGTCTGAGGGATACGTATGAAGTTTTGTGTAACTTCATCTGACTCACCACTGCAATTCTGCTGTTGCTGTTCTGTGTGCTGCCTTGTTTTCCATGTTGTCATTTTCTTCAGAAAGCGCTGAAGGAAAATGCCCGGGTTAGGTGTGCCCGACGCTGTAAAGCTGATTCTTAGTGGAGCTGAGCATTAGGTACGGCTTAGGTTTAATTTGCTGATGGCAGCTAAAGCTGAATGCTGGAAGATGCAGGCAGTGCTGATGTTCACAGTAGTTCCTAGAGAGGCTGGGGAAGCCCAAATAGAAAACACTAAACATTTGAATTATTTGCCACTTCCCCAGCTGCCTTCCAAAAGTGGATGGCAGGTGGCAAATCGGTGCGTTGAGTCCAGCTTTTTTTTTGCTTTTTTTGCAACTTAAAAACAAATTGTAGCACAAATTTAGCGTGTGTTTAAGGGAAGATGGACAGGTTTGGTTAAGGGAGTAACACTGACAGTCGTAGAGGGACAGAGGTGCCATAATCCTCCCCCGTAGCTACTTTAGTTACACACTTGCACACTTTGGAGCATGCTGCTTTAAAAGAAATACTTTGTATTGCAGTAATTTCATAGTAATGCTTATGAGAGATACAAAAATACCTGGATTATAATTTCAGAGGTGTGCATTAAGCTCCCACTTTTTAAATTGTGACGGCTGTGGTTCTGTCATCAGCCAAGGTGACCCCTGATTTTTAAGGAGTGGACAAAATTGGTCTGTGGTGTTCAGTCATCCTGGGACTAAGCCTTACCTGCCCAGGCATGCTACAAGGGAAGAGCAATAGGTTTCCACTAACAAAGGATTTAGAAATACTACTATTAAAAATAGATTTGGAACACGAACTCGAGAATTCTTGCTGTCACTGTTCTGTATTGCACTGTAATGGCCTTCTTTTAGGAGGGTGCAATGAAACTGTGTAGGAAATAGAAGGGAATCTGTTAGCATTTGGGTATTTCATCTTAGGGTTAACGACGTTTCCTGTCTTGCTTAGGTTATTTGCAGGTACCTCTTGGATAGTGACCTTGTTAGGATATTTGCCTACCCAGTGTTAAGCACTGTTTTAGGTGGTTGGGTGTATGCTTGATGAAACTGAAAGCACAAATGATACTGCTGGAGAAAAACATCAACCTTTTCAGAGAAAATGTGAGATTTTTTTCAGACTTTTTGGGTGGGGAGGATGTGGGATTCGGTTTCTGTGTATGTGGCACTTTTTATGATGTACGGAGAAGCTGAGTACACTGTATAGTACTTAAACTTGGAAAATAAGAAGCTTGCATGATTTTGTCTTTCATTATTGACCTGTCAAACATTTTGTTTCTTCCTGTTTGGAAATACATTCAAATATATCTTTGCAATAGTGCTATCAAGCATTGAGTGCTTGCTTCATTTAAAAACACTTCTGGAAAAAACCTTGAATCGTGGGGGGATGGCTGTGGAGAATGGCCTTAACTCATCCAAATCTCTCTTGTGCTCTGCATAGTGGATGCCTTCATTAAAAATAACTGGAAGCGTGACAGAACTTGAGAATTTTAGATCAAATGTCTTATAGAAAAGACCTTGTACGTGGAAATAAATAACAGCTGTTACCAACAGTGACACTATGGTTTCTTTTATTAAGAAGATCTTGACTTCCTTGGTGAAGAGCTGCAGTGATGCTGTTTACAATCAATGCTGTCTCAAAAAAAAGAGGTGCAGAAAAGCCTATTATGAGATGAAGAGTGGTGCAGCGTGACTCTTCAGAAATGTGGAACATCACCACCTGGGGCTGTGCGGGGAAGAATGAAAAATGTCTTAAAGCAAACATCAGTCCCTGTGGTCTGGTCCTTGGAGGTACAGGCTGGTGGTGGGTTCTTGTCATTGACAGTACATTCTTCTCAATTTATAGCGAGTTAGACTTTACCCCAAAGCAAGTGGTTTAGACTTATAGTTAGTTGAAATCAGCTCGGTTCATGGAATTGTTTCTGTGGTGCTAAGGGGTGAAAAGCTTGGAAATCCAGAGAGGAGGATGGTGTAAGGCTTCTCTACCCAGTGCTGAGAGTTCTGCAATGGAGGCAGTCAAATAACACACCACGACCACATCTTTGTTACACCAGTAACCTTCCCCTGCTCCCTTCTAAACTTCAGCACTAATTAAACTGGTAAGGTCCTGTATGAACCTTGTGGAGTTGCATGTATTTAGCAAGTCAGTAAATGCTGCCACAGCCTACTGTAGGATTTCTCCTTTATCACAGCTTTGAGGAAGGTGGAAGCCACAGGTTTTCTTGTTCCTGCTTTGAATTTGCTATTCAAAAGGAAATCAGCTGCCAACTTTCACAAGCAGTAATTCATACCGACTGTTGATGAGGTGGTTGAAGGCACCAGTGCTTTTAAAAAGAATTATTTTTATATATATCAACTTTTTCTGCAGGGAAAAAAAGAGGTGTTTGTCTAGATTCTGTTGATTTGTAAATGAGCTGTATGAAGTCCTGGATGTACAAGAGCTACTTGAAATCCAGCAGCAAAGAATTGCACCAGGAAGAATACTCAGCACTTTCAGACCACAGCGCATCTTTGAAATTGAAAATAATGAGCAATGCAACTGGAATATAGTTCATCTTATTTCTTGGAAAAATATTTAACCTTTCTCTTTAAACTCTTCCCACACCAGCACTGTTTAAGTCTCAGCACTAAAAGGAGGAGGACAGGGTAATAAGGATTCCTGTTAGACACTGCCACTCACTTTCTGGTTTCACAGGAGCTCAGCTGCCTGTAGCAACGCTTATCAGAAGGGGCTACCTAGAGCTATAATAAAACATGCATTTAGACCTGCATTTCCCCATCTGTCATAATAGCCACATTCACAGTTCAGCATTTACATTTCTGGTCATTAATATCCTGGTGGTATCCTTGACACCTGGCCTATGGTGGTGAAGCACAGAGGCACTGAAACACACAGACCAATCGCACACTGCATGGCAAATATTGGGGGGAAGGAGGTAAGAACAGAGTGGAGCCTTTACTGTGCTGGTCAGTTTTAGCATGTGGAAAACAAAACCCCTCGCAGGTAGAGGACAGTGTAGTTCAGCCTTGATTAGCAAAGTTAAAAGAGCCTAACCACTCTCTCCAATGCAGGAATTTAAGCACCCTCCCTTTTGCAGCATCTCTAAGCAAAACACATACCCTGCAAAACATTCACTTCGTAGTTACTCATTAACTCTTGTTTTCTGTAATTAATTACTTAAAATCGACTTCTGTACTCAGTCCAGTTACCGCTCTCTTACACCAACAGTCTGAAACTGAGGTCACTGTCAGTAACAGCACAGATTTCCAAGGGGCCTGAGCCTCTTTGAAGTTCAGATTACTCCAGACCAAAGCACTAGGCAGTAAGTAGTAACCAGTGGTTTAAGAAGGCAGAAAAAAGCAGAACAGGTTAGTTTTTGTATTGTGTTTTTAATAAGTACAACAGAATCCTCAGAGAGGAAGGTACAATTTAATAGAACTTCCACATGTCATTTTAAAAACCCAAATGTGTTATTTTCAGTGGGCAGTTAAAAGTAACCCTTCCCTCCAAAGTCTGTACTTCCTCCCTGTTGGATCACCAAAAGGTCGTCTGTGGCCAATACCAAACTGCACTGAATTGGAGCTTGTGAGCACAAAACACCAGGTACCAGGTCAGAAGGTACCAGGTACCTCGGCTCTCTTACTTCAAATTATCTGTTTGTAAAACCATCAGACTCCAAGGAGAAGCACTTGGTAAGTGTAGTTCTCTTTTTGGGTTAGCATTAACAGTTTAACCTCATGTTCTGTCCTCACTAAAAGATAAGGTACCACTAAGGCTTTCTAAATCAAATTAGGGTTGGTTTTTTTAATGGCAAGTCACCAGACTTGACCATGAACAAGGAATCAAGAGTTTCAATTAAGAGAACCATTAGCACTGGTCTGCACCAGAACTTGACATCTATACAGCTTAAACACCACAGCTAACGGATCTTATCTCAAAAAATAAATGAATTCTTTATTTTAAACCCTGGAAATGTAAAGGAAGAGTTTGGAGTCCTTGCTTGATGACTGCACATTTAACATTCAGTTGTTGCTTTTTAGCACATGAGAGCCTTCAAAAGACGTTTATCAGCTGGCACCCAGGGCAGAACCACCTTTATTACAAAAACACCCTCAGCAGAGTTCACACCTGAAAAGCTTCTCACAGGGTTTAGAAGCAGTAATTTTACTGCTGCAGCCCACTGAACTGAATAACCCAAGGATTCTCAGCTTAATGGACATCCTTGAGACAAGCAAGCAGCACCATCCCAGCTCTCAGTGCAGGAACTGTGGGACCAAGGCATTAACAGACACGAGTCTAGAAATGCCAGAGCCATCTGCCCAGGGCTGTAACCGCTGAACTGCACGCGTTATTGCTCAAAATAGAAGTGATACACACCAATTCTGTCCTCACTGACTTCCGTTCTCCTTCTCATCAGTTTTGTATTGCTGGCTTAGGGTAGAAACACAAGTACTGAATCTTCTCTACACCCTCTATCTCTAAATTTAAGAACAAATCAAAATATACCGTCCAACCAGGACTAACTTCTAATTCATTAAAAACCCCAAACACTTTCTTTCCAAAACAGGTACAAGAACACTAAAAGAAATCAACATTAATTTAAATTAATACAGAAAAAACAATTATCAAATGTTAAAACTTACTTAGTCTATCCTGGCTAGTCCATACTCTGGATTTTAATTCTGAAAGCACTCAAAGGCTTGAATGAAGAACTAAGCATCCTTATTTTGCTAAGCATATCTCCCAGCAGAAAGCCCCCTGCTCACCATTTTGTTCTGAAAAGTCTTTTTACAGGACTACTCGACAGGTAGCACACAGCCAAGGTGGCAAAATCTGGCTGTACAGTATTTTATACAGATACCCTTAAAGTGCATCACAGAATGCCATCCAGCGCAAGTTCAAACTCTTCCCCAAATCCCTGTTTAGCAAGCGAGGCGAGGCTGCCTCCAGCCTATCCAATTAACGGGTCGTCATCGTCGTATTGTAACTGAAGTCGGGAAAACGGCCGCGGGGGAGCTGCTCTCCTCTTGGAGATGATCATAATGCAGGTGAAAGTAGTCAGTATCATAAGAGCCCCAATAACGATCCCAACGGCTTCTGGAAGATTTATGCACCACTGATCCGCGAGCAAGCACTTGGCGTTACTCAAAGTGCCGTTGTGCGGCCGCGGCGTCAGGCCCAGGACGTGGCACATCATGGGGTAAATATCGACGTTGTTCATTGTGCTCTGCTTGTAACCCCGACGAAACGCGGGCCCGCGAGCAGCCAGGAACGGGTGCATGCTGGGGAGAGCGTTGTCGTAGCCATGGTCACCTACTGTGGAAATGCAGAGTTCAGGGTTAACATCACAGTTTGTTTGTGGATTGAGTGTTCCCCTCCCTATCTCTCCCTCGCCCCGAAAGGCAAATAGCTTAACCACACTAATGCAAAACATAACAGCAGCTGCTGGATCAAACACTGAAGGAACCCAGAGTTCCCTTCCTCCTCCCCAGTCCCAAGTCTTTTCCTACACTGGTCCCATTCTCTCTTTTCCCTTCAGTCATCAACATTTCCAGCTTTCCCTTTCCCACTCCTCATGCCAAAGCTGAAAAGGATGTTGCCACCCCCGAAGGAAACAGCAGCTGGAATACAAACTTGTATTTGTCAGATTTTGGAAAGATGTCTCCCCCTTGTAAAGGAGAGACTTTAATTACTTCCTAAAAGCCAAGCACCTTCCCCTGGATAGTGTTCAGTCTGAGCATATTAAGTACCCTCACATCATGCTTATCAGATCAGGTACTGCACGAGAAGGGATATCCAAATAGTCCAAACCAAAACAGTCAGAAGGATCACAATGCCTGTGACAAGCAACAAGAAAACATTTGTGGCTACAAGATCAACAGCACTTGGACATCTGGTAGGTTTTTAAAAAATACTCAACTTTTGGCAGAATATAAACTGCTAAAAAGCAGCCATAGTCAAATTCCCTAATAATGCACCTGAAAAAAAAAATCTAGCCAAGATGTCAAATACTTTTCATAGCGCACACAGCACAGTAACTGAGCGACAGCATCTGAGTTCATTTCCTAGAAACAGTTTAACAAGTCCCCCCAAGAGCTGGTTCACTGAAGTTCCTGATGTGAAATGTCACAATCCCTAAGGATTAGGCCACACTCACCACTGCAGTACACTTCCAATATCCCCTTTTAACGTCTTCCACCATTATGTTGTTACCACAAAGATATTACTGCACCACATCTCGCTTGTTTGTTTTAGCCCAGTCCTACGTTTCATGATCACATTCTTTTTTTCCCTTCTACCACTTGCTTGTTTTGGACAGAGCTGCTCCAAGCCCCCCCTCCAATGAAGTTTCCTGTCTTTCTCCTCTGAAGGAGGGCTGGTGTGTGTCAGCATTTTTAGGAATAATAGGCATCGGTACAGTTGCCAATCATTACGCTGCCGATTTGTCCATGAAGACAAATATAATGAACACTTAAGGAGCCTTTTAGGCTAAAACCTCCCCTGCCTGCTTCTGTGAAGCCTTGGCTTATAAATATATAAATATACTTATAAATATACACGCATTAACTATTTTTAGACATGTGAAATTGAATCTAACCATAAACAAGAAAGAGAACTCTGTGAGAGAACATGTGTGCTAAGTGTCAATTTGAAGATGATTGTAGCAAATCCATGGGGAAGTTAAAATATCAACCTACCTTATATTATAAGCAGTACTTTCGTACGAGTAATGAGAAAATTTGATGTTAAATATGCAAAGGGCAGACAGTAAAAGCAGCCAAGCTGGGTGAAACCAGGAGTTTACAGCCCCCAGCACCCTGTCTCATACAGCATCCGTAACAAGGAGCCTGGGAGGCATCCAACAGGGTCAGCCCTGACAAACCCACCAGCCTCCAGCTGTTGGCTGCTCACAAGCTTCTTGGAAGCTGGTACTTCTGTGTTTAATTTCTTTTAATGGATTTTTCTTCCAAGAATTTGCTCAATCACTTCCTGAACACACATATATACATATATATACATACATATATATATACACACACACACATATGTATATATACATGTACACACACCACCTTCATCTGCAAGCAAAATTATGGGTTGAGTTCTCTTATTATGACTATAATGAAATCTGTCTGGAATTTCTTCTTTGAGATATACTTTCATGTGACCACTGTGACGTGTTTGTTTTGTCTGTCAAAAAACTGCTGCAGGTTAAACACCTGGAAACATATATACATATATGTATGTATGTATGTAATTTGACATTCATAACATCAGGCAGGAAGAAAGTGCATAGCTTAGCAATGCACTGTATGACGTAACATCTGTTTTGGTTTTTGTCTTTAAAACATGCTATTTCATCCCCTAACAGGAAGGGCTCTGGCTTCTTTGACCATTATTGTTGTGTTTCTACTATTTTTAGTATTTCCTCCCATTTCTTTTTGTTTCCTAGCACATGCACTGTAACATTACATGTTATGTCTTACATGCTTTGATTCCTACAGATGGCTGGAATGAAAACAAGGGAGTTTACCAACATAAGCCACCAAGAGCACAAATGAGGCAAACGCACTTACATTTTACAAGTGACTCGTTCTGCACAATTGTCCAGCCTTCGTCTGCAACCAGAATTATGGGTTGAATCCTCTTATTCTGACGGTAATGAAATCTGTCTGGAATGTCTTCTTTGAGATACACTTTCATGTGATCGCTGCAGTTTTTCAGTAAGTTATACACTTCTCTCTTGTCTGCCAAGGAAAAAAAACCTTCATGTGAAACAGCTGGAAATGATGGCCCTTTTATTACAATTATCTGTCATTAAACCCAAGATCCACTTTTTTTCCAAAGCAATTATTTTTTAACGTCCCTATTGAAACGCTCCATGTATCGAGGCGGATTTGACAGTTTGCTCTCATTTTAAATTGACTACCTCATGGTGGTGGTTTTGGACCTATAATTCAACTTACCATCTGGGCTTGCAGGGGAGGAGGGGAAAATTCAAGTAGGGAAGTCAAGAGAAAGCAATCACAAAACAAAGGAATCAATATATTATCCGAAGCAGTAAGTATTAAATTTTGTTACTGTATAAAACACTTTGTTCATTAGAATTGCTTCAGCCTGGCCACAGCTGTGGAAACTGCAAGCAGCAGTGTCAGGATCTAAGACACACCTGTTAGTAACTACTCCAAGATACCAAAATTGAGTTCACAGGCTGAAAACTGGAGTTTCATTCACAGAAACAGAAGTGGTAAAGCGATAAAAGTTGGGTTTAGGTTTCTACTTGGAAGCTTAGATCAGGACATTTCTTATTCTGAATCAACATGAGGGTTTATTTCATGCTCACTGTGAATTGCAGTCATATATTTAACGTGAGCAACAAGAGAGCAGGCACACCAAGTGCTTATCTACTTTCTCAGTAAGCTGCACCAGGATAATCTTCACCACCAACAGCAATTTGACAGGAAACTCTCCTTGGCCCACTGGTTACCAAAACAAGGTAATTTCTAAATAAACAAACATTCATTAAATGATGTCAAAGTTCTGCACTACGAACTACACTGGTTTTGCAAAAGTAAACAGTCTAACATAACGTGTTCTTCTTAGTAGTAACAAAACAAGATTTAATTCTCAGTGTACAACTCAAAACACTGAAACCTACTTTGCCTTGGCAGGACTGCAGCAACTGGACTCTTGTCTATCAGCGTGTAGCTATTGCGACCAATGCAGCCATCCAGGATAATCAGCTTTTCTGCAGAGCAGGAGGTCATTCCATGATCACTTGTTATGATGATATTAAGGGTGTCCCACAAACCTAACGCCTTCAATTTCCTAGTAAGAAAACCAACGTGATTATCCACTTCTTCCAACACTCTGCGCATGTTCTCAGTGTCATCTGGTCCATACTTGTGCCCGCTTGCATCCGGTTCTTCCCAGTATAACGTAGCAAAACTGACGACTGGATCGGAGCTGTTCAGCCACGCAACGATTTTCTCCGCTCTCTCCTCAAATGTTACTGAAAAGTTGTATTTCATGAAGAAGTGAGGGGTCACATTGTTAATTTTTACATCGGTACCGGGCCACATCGCAGCAGCACTTGCTCCATTTCCCTGCTGTTGATTCGTTACCCAAATTGGAACGGCCTCATTCCACCAGAAGGGATCTGAATCGTTGAACCATGAGAACTTTTTCTTTCTGTCTGCATCGTACATGTCATTAGCCACGATGCCATGGCTTTCTTCGTATAAACCCGTCACTATGGTATAATGGTTTGGGAAAGTCCTGGTGATAAAAGCATTCGTAACTTCTTTTACAAGCACGCCATCCGCAATGAACTCCTGAAGATGAGGAAGCTTATAGGTTTCCAAGTAATCAGCTCTGAAGCCATCAAAGGACACGAGGAGTAACCTGGATACTGAATCACCGGTAGACCAAGCACAACAGGCAACTATTCCAGAAAAAAATAACGTCAACAAGGAGTTCATTGTTGACACTGCAGAGTATTTCCAGCAGGTAATCAGATGCACCTGAAAAAATTTAAAAAGGTAAGACACGTAACACAAAACAACCGTACTGGAACCAGTTGAACTACCTACACGTTGTGTACATCCTCCCTATAGATGTTAACTGCAAAATAACCAGTCGAAACAACCACTGAAGTCAACAGTAGATCTCCCTACTGACTTCAGAAGTTTCTCATATATTTTCATAGTTTTTCATACATTGAAACAAATGAGCCATGAGATTTTTTTCATTCCAATGAAAGGGAGAATTGTTTTCTCTCTTTTAAGCAATTACCCCATTGTTCTGCGTGTCTCATTGCAGTTCTGCACTTCAAGACAGACAATCAGTATTCTTCCTCATGTTCAAGCATAGGCACCTGAACAATTCTGGTTCCACTTTTAAGAGTCCTGTGCACCTCTAAATCCTTCTTACACATCACTGTTCAGATCAGAAGCTTGTTTTCTACTGTAATTTTAATTTTTCCTCCCACTCTTCCTTTTCCACTGTTTCTACCCTCTTGAGTTGCTGGGAGATCTGAGATTTCAACTGCTATGGTTTATACAGTTGCTCTATCACCTGATGACTCCTTCCCACCCAGGGAGGAGAGAAGGAGATCCATGGGTTGAAATGGAATATCTTAAATAATAATAATAATAAACCTATTATTAATAACAGTATTAGTATAAATTACACAGAGTGAGTACATATACTCTGCCAATACTGTGGGGAAGTAGGAAGGCAAGTAAGTCCCTCTTGAGACGTTAACCATGGACGTCAGAAGAAGAAGGGGAAAGAAAGGCCAACCCCAGTAAGCTCCTCAGTTCATAGTGAATGCGATGGTTATGGTATGGAACAGTATTAACTGGTCAGCCTGGGGTCAACTCCCCTGAGTTTCCACTTCCACCAGCCTCTGCACCTGTTTATCTCAAGACCACTAAAGACCTTGAGCATCACATACCAGCTGTAACTGAAACCTATAACAGTCTCTTATCACTTTGTTCCCATGAAATAGAGCAGTGTAGACTCCTTAAAGAAAAAGCCATTTTCCTCAACAATAAAACTGACTCTCAGATTTTGTCCCAGTAAGCCAGGACATCAACGTTCCTGTTTACTCATTGCTTACTCTAGGCATGGAGCTGCCAGGAGTAACTTCTACTTGTGTTTTCCTTCTAAGCTCTTGTACTTCTACCATAACAGTATTCAAACCTCTTCTCTACATATCGTATTTCTCACTCCAAAAAGAAAACCCAACAAACCAACCAAACCCTAAAAAATCATTAGCAACCTTAGCTATGAGTCAAGTATTTCTCACCAAGGAATTCATGACTACTATGAATGCAAGGTATGATTTGCAAGTTTCCCCTTCCTCCCAAACTTACTACGTGTGACAGGAGCACTTTGTTCACGAAGGTCCAGAGTTATTCTATAAACTTTTAAGAAAGGGGAAGTGAAGGTTCAGTTTTCACAAAAACTTCTGCAACATTGTTAGACAGCGTAGTTACTTCTCAAGAGCTCCACGCCAGCAAATTTCTCCTTTGACTTGCACAAACTAGGGTGATTTGAGGAAGAAAGGCAGGTACCTTCCTAAGTGTAGTAGTACCTTCTCTGGCCTATCTCAGCACTTCCCCCCAAACTCTTTAAAAGTGTCAATGTACTATTTTGAAAGTGTAAGCAGCTTTAATGTTAGCTAAAGCTTTAGGAGTGAGAGGAATTCACAACATGGGAAATCATCCCTCCCGCAGCCAAGTTAAAATTTCTTCAGAAGATACAAATGTTAACAGCAAGGATTGTCAAGAACAGCATTAAGCTATCTCCTAATAGAGGGCTTGTAACATAGAGAAAAAAGAGTAAAAGAACTGAGATGAGCAAGGGAGCAAAGCACGACGCATTTCATGTTGCCAGGTGCTTTAAAAAGCAGAAGCAGAGTTTTTCACAGCTCAGTAAGACCACAGTATTAGCTCTGATATACCCCAAAGATGCCGAGCATCTGTGTTTTTACAGCCAACTCGACAATGCCATCAGCGTTGCTGCTGTCTGCTCTGAACCTCTCCACCTTCCCGCCAGATTTCCCAGTCTCTGGGTGCTCGGTTCCCCGAGGAATGACTTATCCCGAGAGCTCAAGGCCAAGTGCCGCATTATCCTCGCAAACTTATCCGCTGCACAGACACAAGAAACCGGCCCCGGGCCCAGGCACCACCGCGGGGCCCGACTCCGTCTGCTCAGCACACGGACCGGCCTTCTCCGGGGCAAGGGGGCTCCGGCAGCAGACGGCCCAGGTACCTCACCACCTCCCAACGCTTCCCTCTCCTCACCTAAAAACCGACGGGGGCGGAGTCGCAGCCACCCGGCGTTGTGGGGATAAGGGGGTCCCGCTGCCCTGCCCTGGGCTGCGCCACGCACCACAACCTCCTTACGCCGGACACCT